TAGATAGATAGATGATAGATAGATGGATGGAATAGATAGATGGAAGGAATGAAAGAAATGAACAGACTGCCAATGATAGATGTATGGTAATTAACAATTAGATAGATGATAGATAGATAGAGATGGATGAATAGATAGATGGAGATAGATGGAATGAAAAGAAATGAACAGACTGCCAATGATAGATGTATGGTAATTAACAAATTAGATAGATAGATAGATAGATAGATAGATAGATAGATAGATAGATAGATAGGAAGAATGAAAAAAAGACTGAATGATAGATAGATGGTATAGACAATTAGATAGATGGATGATAGATATGGATAGATAGATAGATAGATTAAGGAATGAAATAGATAGATAGAATGGTGACACACAAGATAGATAGATAGATAGATAGATAGATAGATAGATAGATAGATAGATAGATAGATAGATGGAAGGAATGAAAGAAATGAACAGACTGCCAATGATAGATGTATGGTAATTAACAATTAGATAGATAGATAGATAGATAGATAGATAGATAGATAGATGGAAGGAATGAAAGAAATGAACAGACTGCCAATGATAGATGTATGGTAATTAACAATTAGATAGATAGATAGATAGATAGATAGATAGATAGATAGATAGATAGATAGATGGAAGGAATGAAAGAAATGAACAGACTGCCAATGATAGATGTATGGTAATTAACAATTAGATAGATAGATAGATATATAGATAGATAAATAGATAGATAGGAGATAGATAGATAGATAGATAGATGATAAGATAGATGGAAGAAGGAATGAAAGAAATGAACAGACTGCCAATGATAGATGTAAAGTAATTAACAATTAGATAGATGAGAGATAGATAGATAGATAGATAGATAGATAGATAGATAGATAGATAGATATAGATAGATGGAAGGAATGAAAGAAATGAACAGACTGCCAATGATAGATGTATGGTAATTAACAATTAGATAGATAGATAGATAGATAGATAGAAGATAGATAGATAGATAGATAGATAGATGGAAGGAATGAAAGAAATGAACAGACTGCCAATGATAGATGTATGAATTAACAATTAGATAGATAGATGGATGGATGGGGATAGATGAGATAGATAGAAGATGCCAAATGATAGACAGATATTGGATGGATGGATGGATAGACAGATAGATAGATGGATGGATGATGGATGGAAATGAACAGACTGCCAATGATAGATGAATGTTAATTAACAATTAGATAGATAGATAGATAGATAGATAGATGGATAGATAGATAGATAGATAGATGGAAGGAATGAATGAATGGATGACTGCCAATGATAGATGTATGGGAGATTAACAATTAGATAGATAGATAGATAGATGATAGATAGATAGATAGATAGATAGATGGATAGAAGGAAGAGATAGAAATGGACTGCCAATGATAGATGGATTAATGGATAGATAGATAGATAGATGGAAATAGAACAGAGATGATGATGGATAGATAGATGAAGGAATGAAAGAATGAACAGATGAGAATGGAGAAAGAGAGTAATTAGATGAGATGGAGATAGATAGATAGAAGAGATAGATAGATGGATAGAGAGATAGATGGATAGATAGATGAGATGGAAGAGAATGAAAGAAATGAACAGACTGCCAATGATAGATGTATGAAAATTAACAATTAGATAGATAGATAGATAGATAGATGATAGATAGATAGAGAATAGATAGATAGATAGATAGATAGATGGATAGATGAAGAGAAATGATAGAACAGACTGAGAATGAAGATGTAAAAATTAACAGATTAGATAGATGGATAGATAGATAGATAGATAGATAGATAGATAGATAGATGGAAGGAATGAGAGAAAGAATAGACTAGAATGGATGGATGTATGGAGATGACAATAGAAGATAGAAGGATAGATAGATAGATAGATGGAGATGAAAGAAAGAAATGAACAGACTCAAATTGGATAGAGATGAGAAAGATGGAATGGATGGATTAGACAGATGAGATAGATAGATAGATAGATAGATAGATAGATAGATAGATGATGGATGGATGGAAGGAATGGGAAAGAAATGAACAGACTGCCAATGATAGATGTATGGTAATTAACAATTAGATAGATAGATAGATAGATAGATAGATAGATAGAATAGATAGATAGATGGAAGGAATGAAGAATGGAACAGACTGCCAATGATAGATGTATGGAGATTAACAATTAGATAGATAGATAGATAGATAGATAGATAGATAGATAGATAGATAGATAGAAGATGAAATGGAAAATGAAATGAACAGACTGCCAATGATAGATGTATAGATAATAGATAGATGAATTAGGAACAGATAGATAGATGAAAGATAGATATGATAGATAGATAGATAGATAGATAGATGGAAGGAATAGAAAAGAAATGAAACAGATGAACAGACTGCCAATGATAGATGTATGGTAATTAACAATTAGATAGATAGATAGATAGATAGATAGATAGATAGATAGATAGATGGATGGAAAGAAAGAAATGAACAGACTGCCAAATGATAGAAAGATAATAATTAAAAGGATGAAAAATATGAGATGATAAATGAATAGACTGATGTAGATGATAGATAGATAGATAGATAGATAGATAGGAATAGATAGAAAGAAAAAATGAAAAAAGTGAACAGATGCCAATGATAGATGTATGGTAATTAACAATGAGATGGAGAAAGATAGATAGATGATAGATAATAGATGATAGATGGAAGAATGAAAGAAAAAAATGAACAGACTAACAAGATAGATAGATGAAGATGGATAGATGGATAGATTAACATGAAAAGATAGATAGATAGATGGATTAGATAGAGATAGATAGATAGATGAATGGAAAGATGGAAATGAATAGATAAGCCAATGATAGATGTATAACAAAAATGATTAAGAAAGATAGATGAGATAGAAAGATAGATAGATAGATGGATGGATAGAAGATGGAAGATGAAAGATGGATGATAGATGAAATGAAAAAATGAGATAAGAGATAAATGATAGATTGATAATGAACAATAGATAGATAGATTAGAAATAGATAGATAGATAGATAACAATTAGATAGATAGAGATAGATGGAGGAGATGAAATGAAATGAACAGAATGAAAAAAATGATAGATGAGATGATAAATAACAGATGAGATAGATAGATAGAGATAGATAGATGATGGATAACATAGATAGATAGATAGATAGATGATAGAGATGGATGGATGGAATGAAAGAAATGAACAGACTGCCAATGAAAGATGATATGGATGGATGGATAGGATAGATAGATAGATAGATAGATAGATAGATAGATGGATAGATAGATGGAGATGGAATGAAAATGAACAGAGATGCCAATGAAAGATGAATGAAAGAAATGAACAGATTAGATAGATGAATAGATTAACAATAGAATTAATAGATAGATAGATAGATAGAATAGATAGATGGAGATGGATGGAATGATGAAAGAAATGAACAGACTGCCAATGATGATGTATGGATAGATAGAATTAAGAATGATAGATGATAATGGAGATGGAGGAAAGAAAGATAGATAGATACAATAGATAGATAGATAGATAGATAGATAGATAGATGGATGAAATGGAAAGAAATGAACAGACTGCCAATGATAGATGTATGGTAATTAACAATTAGATAGATAGATAGATAGATAGATAGATAGATAGATAGATAGATAGATAGGATGGAAGAAATGAATAGACTGCCAATGAAGATGTAAAAATGGATAGGAATGATAGATGGAAGGATGAAAGAATAAAATGCCAAGATAAATGGATAGACAGAGATAGATACAATAGATAAGATGGTAATGAAAATGATGAAGAGACTGATGATAGATAGATGGTGGAATAGATTAGATAGATAGATAGATAGATAGATAGATAGATAGATAGATGGATAGATAGATGGAAGGAAATGAAAGAAAATGAACAGACTGTAAATGATAGATGTATGAACAAATAGATGGAACAATTAGATAGATAGATAGATAGATAGATAGATAGATAGATAGATAGATAGATAGATAGATAGATGAGATGGAATGGGAAGAGATAGAAATGAACAGACTGCCAATGATAGATGTATGGTAATTAACAATTAGATAGATAGATAGATAGATAGATAGATAGATAGATAGATAGATAGATAGATAGATGGAAGGAATGGAAGGAAAGAAATGAACAGACTAAAAATGATAGATGTATGGTAAATTAAAAATAGATAGATAGATAGATAGATAGATAGATAGATAGATAGATGGAAGGAATGAAAGAAATGAACAGACTGCCAATGATAGATGTATGGAAATTAACAATTAGATGGATAGATAGATAGATAGATAGATAGATAGATAGATAGATAGATAGAAGGATGGAAAGAAATGAACAGACTGCCAATGAAAGATGTATGGTAATTAACAATTAGATAGAAGATAGATAGATAGATAGATAGATAGATAGATAGATAGAAGGAGATGAAAGGAAATGAACAGACTAACAATGATAGATGTATGGTAATTAACAATTAGATAGATAGATAGATAGATAGATAGATAGATAGATAGAGATAGATGGAAGGAATGAAAGAAATGAACAGTTAGATGAATGATAGATGTAGATGGATAGATGATTAACAATAGATAGATAGATAGATAGATAGATAGATAGATAGATAAAGATAGATAGGATAGATAGATAGATAGATAGATAGAAGATAGATGGAAGATGGAAGAAATGAACAGACTGAAATGATAGATGTATGGATAGATAGACAGAATGAAATAAAATAGATAGATAGACAGATAGAGATAGATAGATAGATAGATAGATAGATAGATAGATGGATAGAGGATGGAATGAAAGAAATGAACAGACTGCCAATGATAGATGATAGATGGATGGATGGATGGATGGATGGATAACAA